TGACTTCTAGAGCAGCTACCTGTGCTCATAGTTGTGCCTGTTGTCTGCTGACAACTGTCCAAGTATTTCCAGTGGTTGTCCCTTCAGGCTCGTTGCGAGGTATACTGTTTTCTGCTCCTCTGTCCATCCATTCATTTCTGCCAGTAGCTCAAATTGTGCTCTATATACTTCCCATGGTGCCTTCCCATCGATTTCCCGTGGCTTCCTTCGTACTAGATCACCCCCATTGCTGACACTCATGTCTGGAATGTGACTTCTGGCAGGACTGAAGATGTCTGCATTAGGGTTTAGCTGCTGGGTCTGGAAGGGGCTTCCCATTGTCTGAGCCTGATTAGGTCCATGGCTAATATATCCTTCTTGTGTAAAAGACAGTAAATCATCCTTTAATGTAATTAATTCACTTTGAAATTTACTAATGTTTTCCATTTGTACTTCTTGCCACTATTGTTGACTTTCCTGTAGTTGCTGCTGACTTTCCCGCAACTGTTGGAAACTTTCTTCCTGTTTCCTTTCTTGTTCCAGTTGCCACTGCTGTTGTCTCTCTTCTTGTTTCTTTTCTTTCTCCTGCAACCAATGCTGTAGTCTCTCTTGTTGTTTATTTTCTCGTTCTTCTTGTTTCTTTTCTTTTCCCTCCAACAACTGCTGTAATCTCTCTTCTTGTTTATTTTCTTGTTCTTCTTGTTTCTTTTCTTTGTTCTCCAACCACTGCTCTAATCTCTCTTCTTGTTTATTTTCTTGTTCTTCTTGTTTCTTTTCTTTGTCTTCCAACCACTGCTGTAATCTCTCTTCTTGTTTATTTTCTTGTTCTTCTTGTTTCTTTTCTTTCTCCTCCAACCACTGCTGTAATCTCTCTTCTTGTTTATTTTCTCGTTCTTCTTGTTTCTTTTGCTGTTCTTGTATTTCTGCCATCAAATCTGCTAAGCTGTAGTTTGATTTGCCACTTCTCGTTTCTATTTTTTTTTTCTTTTCCATCCCACTCTCTGACACCAATTTGTTACATATCTGCTTGTTTGATGATTTCCCGTAAAATTTCTTTCCTAGAAACTTCGGCGATACGTGTTCTTTCTTAGTTAAAACTAGTTTATTCTTTCTGATTACAAACATTGTAATACACTTAATTTCCACAGTCACTTTAACTTAAACACACGCTACAATTCACAACGATTCACGCATCTTACTTTTGGTCACTACCGCTCAT